TAATGAAAAATTATGAATTTTGGTATTTTTATTTTATTTTTTTAATATAAATAATTAATGATATTTTAATTTATGTAATATGTCCCATTTTTCAATTAAAAAGGAAAATTGAGGATGTGAACTACACTCTCCAAATTTCTCTAGTATTGGGGAGTTTTGAGGAGTAAGGGGGCGCGTGCAAATGTGCCCTGGCATACCTAGCTAGGTGTGCCAGGGCACACGGTAGTGGTACTGATTATGTTCCGTCACAGACCCTCATTTTTCAAACTCTCTCCCCTCCCCTTCCCCAGTTTCAACCACCCACCCACCACCATAAATTAGCCTCGCCGATTGTGTTAAAATGACCACAGAAACGCTTTCTACACCACCAGCTGAGAACTTCTCGGAGCTTGGGAGCCACCACGCGACGACAACGATTGACGCCAGCACGGAGAGCACCGTCGTTGTCGTCAGCACCGAGAGCACCAACAGTGCATCAGTCACTTTGCCAGCGAAAAAAAAAACGAGCGGCAACGCAAGTAAGTCGGCCCTCTGATGCGATTATTGTTATATGAAATTTGTCATTTTCGTTCAACGTCCGTGCTTGTGCCGGATTTACTGATGATTGTTTTGTTCCCACAACCTTCACACATTGGGTTGAACCCTGAAATTTGGGAATTAGGGTTCTTCCACAATTCCATTTTTGTACTTGTATTCTTATTCCTTGTTCTGTGTGCTATCTGTTGGTATGAATTTTGTTTTGTACGAAATTCGCCATATAGGGTTGTGTTGGATTGTTTTGTGCTTACTGTATTGGGTTGAACCCCGTAATTAGGATTTACTGTTGTGTGCTTACTGTATTGGGACTGCCAGCTGCTTGATATGAACTGCATTTGTTTGCATTTTTTATTTTTTATTTTTTAATTTTTGGAGTGATTAGAGGAAAATGGGACATATCAAGTGAACTGCAGTTGTCTGTTCAATTTTTTTAGTCGAGTATGTTTTGCTTAATGTGTTGGGACCGACAGCTGCTTGCTTCATGAAGATCAACTGCATTTGTTGGCTTTTTTTTTTTTGCTTTGTTTCATACATCATGTTGTTCTCACGGTGTTTGAAAGGGATTAAGAGAGTTTTCTCCTTTCCAGTATTTCGTAATGGTTGGTTTCATATGAAGTTGTCGAACATTACGGTGCGAAAAGATGTATTTGTTGTGGATAATGTAGATGGCTGGTATGGAGGGGGTTGGCAGTTCCAACAAGAACAAGAAGGTCGAAGCTAAATGGACTCCCGAGACAGAGGCTTGCTTCATTTCACTGATGTACGACGAGGTTCTGATGGGCAACTGCATTGGCGGTACGTTTAACGCACATCAGTGGAATGAAATCTTGAAAAACTGAACGAAAGATGCTCCATGGAACCACCGCATGAAATGAGTCAATTAATGAATAAGCAGGGTCGTATTAAGAAAAATTGGCATCGTTTTCACAACATGTTGACGAATACAACCGACTTTGGATGGGACAAAGATCTTAACATGATCACAGGAGGCGAAGACGTTTGGGGTAGATGGCTTGAGGTTAGTCGAGTTAAAAATTGTACTGTATGTGAAATAAGTTCATGTTTTGTATTATGTGCTCGATATGACTTTTTTGTATGAGTTTGAGTATCATTACACATATGCATGTTGCCTTCTAATTACATATTGTTTTTGTTAAGAAAATGTGCAGTTTGAGGTATATGAATTTAACATGTGACTTTCTATTTGAACAGCCTTGCTATGAATTACATTGTTCTGTGTTTCTTTCGTCTTTCATGTGTTTATGTTATATATAATATTAAACATTGTTGTACCTATTGTTGAAAGCGACAAAATTTTGAAAAATGCTAGAAATACATAATAAATGTACATAAAGGTGTACATAATACTCACATGGAGTGGGGTCTACTTGATTTTTTATTTTTGGTAGGTCCCACTAGATGTGAGTGTTATGTACACCCTTATGTACAAAGTTATGTACCTATAGCATTACTCCAAAATTTTTGGGTGACAGGTACACAAAAAGGATAAAGATATGAAGAAGAGAAGTTGTTTGCGCTATAATGAGTTGATAATTATTTTCTTCGACTCGACCGCAACTGGTAGTGGTGCAGTTGCTTCAACCCAACCGCCACAAGGTAGAAGCTGGGTGAGAAGAAGTGCGCCATCCAACCCTGAAAATCATGTGTTCTCTGATAGCAATGCTGAGAAGATGTACTCGTCGGACATCAATTGTTCCTCTCGACACTGTAGAGCATCTGCAAATTCAGTCGACAAGGTGTTGCATTCAATCGCCGAAACCCAACTCGATCTCCAACGAAGCAGAATGTTGTCGTCGGTGGGTCTTTTGCAGGTAGCACTGGACAAGTTTGAAAATCCGTTGTGCCAAAAATGTTCGTTACCCTAAAATTCGAAGCCAACCGCCATGCACTACTAGACCTCTTGCTGAAAAAAAAAGCCAAACAACTTAATGATGAGTGTTGTCCATTGGTTGACATTTTCCGTTTTTACATGTCCTTCCTATTTGCAGTCCATTTAACATTTTCTTTTTCTTTTCTATCTGTTTGTTTGACTATTTGACTTGAGTGTGTGTTTTTCTTATGTTGACGTTTATAGTTATTTTATGTTGACATTTATGCTTTGAACCTTTGAGAAATATGCACGTATTATTTCACAAAATTTCAAACTTTAACTTACAGGCCCTTATTGATAATATTGATGAAAACATTACTTAACCGTAGGATGTCTGACTTAGACGATGATGGCCCTTACGATTATGTAGAAGAGGAAAACAACACACATACTGAAGAGAATGAGGATGCATTTGAAGATAATGAGGACGACGAGGAAGTTGATATTTCGGACGACGAAGTGGACGACGAAGAATGGAATCCTTCAACTATTGAGGCAAGACTGGATTCCCAATTACAACTACCTAATCTATATGCCTCATCGTCGCGATCTACTCTCAACGAGAGTAGAAGTCAAAAATCACCTTCTACATATGCTGGACTTGGTTGAGTTAATGAATTATTAAGGGGGCCTGATCGACGATTTTACAATGCAATGGGGGTAGAAAAGAAGGTATACATCCGAATGTGCAAAGAAATATGCAAGACAAATGCACACGGGTTTTGATGTAGGGAAACATATGAGTGAGACGATATTAATGAGATCTCAATCTCAAGAACATCTAAACACGATATAATTCATACTTTATTCATAAAAAACTAAGGGAAATAATTTAGAGGGAGCCCTTTATATAAGGTCCCTAACCCTAAACATTAACTTGTCCACCAAGCCACTAAATGATAATAATAATAACAACAACAACAACAACAACAACAACAACAACAACAACAACAACAACAATAATAATAATAATAATAATAATAATAATAATAATAATAATAATAATAATAATAATAATAATAATAATAATAATAATAATAATAATAATCATCTAACTCATTGTCCCCCGGTTTGGAAGGCTTCGCCCTCGA